CAACAGCAACAGCAACAGCAACAGCAACAGCAACAACAGCAACAACAACAACAACAACAACAACAACAACAACAACAACAACAACAACAACAACAACAACAACAACAACAACAACAACAACAACAACAACAACAACAGCAACAGCAACAACAACAACAACAACAACAACAACAGCAACAACAACAACAACAACAACAACAACAACAACAACAACAACAACAACAACAACAACAACAACAACAACAACAACAACAACAACAACGACAACAATACCGACATCGACAACAAGAACGACGAAAACGATGTCAACAAGAACAACTCTAGGGGCAAGTAGCGTGTATTTACAGTCGTGCCAATAGAAGCGTTGTTGACCAGTTCATTTCCTAACTTCGAAGAGTTCCTCTGAACAATTCCTCAACAATTTGATAAGTTCCTTAAAAAGTTCCTAACTTCCTGTTTCATTGACCAATCAGATTGCTCAAAAATAAAATATAAAATTTGATTGGTCAATGAAACAGGAAGTTAGGAACTTTTTAAGGAACTTATCAAATTGTTGAGGAATTGTTCAGAGGAACTCCTCGAAGTTAGGAAATGAACTGGTCAACATTTTTCGGAATGCCTCTATTGGCACGACTGTAAAGAATCACAGTCAACCGTGCAGCTTCGCGCGCGATGTGAAAGTCTATTGTTTACATATGCGGGGAGCTAAAAATAGTGTTGTAGTCCAAAATAGTCATACACTGAAAATTATATGCCTTAGCTTTATTATAAACAAAAAAGTTTAATACATTTGATGAAAATGATATTTGATGAAAATGATTTTTCATGAAAACATGCCCCTGCCCCGTCTGACCACATCATACTTTGATGAAGCAGGATTTCGGCGAACTCCCTATGCGAAAGCCCCCGTATTCCCCAGGCTTTCTTTCCTTTCATTCCAAAGGACGTACGTTGAACTTATCAACGATATTATTTTTGATCTGGGTCTACTACAATCTACTTTCTAAAATGAGAAAACTTTCTAAAATCATGTGGTTAATTAAGATAAAAACAATTATCTATTAACATATTTCAACTATGAAAAACAAAATAATCAAACCATTTTAGCGCGCAAACCATCACGGTTGACTGTGATTCTTTAAAATATGTAACGCCAGTTTTTTGCGGATTCTTGGATGGAACTCAGAGGATGGAACTTGGATGCATCTTGAATACATTGGATTTTCGGTATCGAATGGAAACAACAGTATTTTATTTTGACTTGTTTTTTTTTCGAACCAACCGGACGTTAGCCGGGGAAGAGGGTACTAAATCCGTTCGATTATTTACACCCGAGGGACGGAAAGCATTAGCGAAGTCTAAATTGACCATTTGCGTAATAGACTAAATTTAGATCTAAACAAGTCTAGACAAAAATTTCATCACAATTGACTTGAAATAGCATCACAAAATTAGTAATATTCCAAAATTTCGTTGCGAAATGTTGTAAAATGCGGAAAATATAGCCTTGCGAAGTTTGCAATTTTCAGTCATTTTAGATTACAAACGGGACTTGACAGCCTCGAAGGGTTTGGGGCTGTCAATTTCCCGTTTGTAATCTAAAATGACTGAAAATTGCAAACTTCGCAAGGCTATATTTTCCGCATTTTAAAACATCTCGCAACGAAACTTTGGAATATTACTAATTTTGTGATGCCTCAAAAGTTAGTCTATTACGCAACCATTTGCGATTGGTTCATGGTCGCGGTCATAGGTGGACCCTCACTGAAGAAATAAGAAGAATTGAAGAAATAAAATATCGTAAAATATAGGGCTAGTTTGCTTTGAATGTTTAATGTTTATAAATTTTGTTGCTTTAATCTCTATTATTCAATTCAGTAATTTGAACCGATTTTACTGTTTTAAGTTAATTAAAAAAAACTGTCGACAAATGTAGTTTTAATAGTTGAATGAACACTTCAAAACGTTTTACGGAGCATTTCAGATTAACTTTTGCGTTAATCAAAGCTCATGCAAAAGAATATACCTCCGTCCTATGATGTATATTTCAGAAATTTATTGTTGTATATGGCTAAAAGTGGTAATCTTTCAACTATTTTTACTATTTTTTACAAACAAAATGATCGTATAGCTATGGCAACACATTACGCGTTCAGTGTTGATCAATTCACGTATTCACCAATAGTAGCGCCATCCTGAAATTTGAGTTCGGCACAATGCATATAATGGTCTATCCACGGTGAAAATATGTAGAACGTTCAATTATACGATTACACTGCAAAAAGTGAAATACTTGGCAAAATTTTTTTTCCTAATTTAAGATAATTATTCTTATATCAAGATTATATTTCTTGTTTTAAGAATAGTTATCTTGGTTTATGAAATTATTTCTACGTTGAGAAACATGTAAAATTAGTTTTTCTTAAATTAATATATTATTTCTTGACGCAAGGCTTTGTTTCTTGTTTCAAGATTTAAAACTTAATTTCAAAAAATAATCTTAGGTTTGAGAAAAATTATCTTTTAATTTCAAGCAAGCTAGTGTATATAAGTTTTCTTGTTTCAAGAATTATTTGGCCACTGCAAGATAATTTTATTAAGGCTGTAGTGAACCCTAAATTTACAAAGCACTCTTTAGACTCTACTTTTAAAAGTATCTAACCAATCATACTGAAACTTGGCACAAACCTAGTGCCAAGTATGTCACACATACTAAGCTTTGTCGAAGCATAGTATGGGTGTAGGTTGCCATGACCTATGCATGGCTATGATGATTGATGATCAAATGCCCAACACATGTTCCGTACATATTTATACCTGAAATTGTGAGTCATCTTGCACATCTTCGCTATCCGAATTTCCAGGTATACGTGGCGGTTCACGATCGCCAGGATCAACGTCTGCCTCGCCCAATTCATGCTTATGGTTTCGTTGAACATGTTTTCGAAATGAATCCATTTTCTTGTAAGTTTCTGGGCAACCATTGACCCCACAAGTAATTTTAAAATTTGGTTGTGACGCATGTTGCATTGTAATGTGTCTTATTAAAACTTTAAGCGTTATGGCCGAGAACACTAGACAAATACTGCAAATCCACATTGTTTTTGCAATATTCGGCATATTTATTTGATGATGGCTGAGGCACAGCTCAGGCTTTCTTAGGCTGCATAATAGTCAACTTCCACGATGATTTCCTTTATAATTCATAGCTTTCTGGAATTTTCAGTTAAAACATTGATTAAAAATCGGAAACTTTTATATTTGTAACTAAAGCAATCATATGCAAATTACAAATATTGCATTTTTGCTATTTTAAGCATTCAAAAATATTTACTGGTAATGATTTTGATGATCAAATCCGAGATCAAATCAGGGATTTAGGGCTTGACAACATGGAAATTCCTTAATTTGTTCGAGGAATTCTATGTTCGTATTTGCTCGTGTATTGTCGGGAAACGTCGTAGTTTACGTGTTGTTTATCGTTTGAGTGTTTGAGTTCATATTCAATTTTTTAGTGGCAGAAATCTAGGACAAGCGTAGACAAAGAAACACAAAGAATATATACATAGTGGGGAAAATATCCTGACTCCTTTCAACTATATTTATAACATTCACTTGCTTGAGCCAAATTGTATTCATAACCGTATGGTGTCCCATGTCCGCCAAAAATCAACTTTTGCATTTCACTATATGATATTTTGAGGATCATATTCATTTCATTAAAATAACAACATTGTTTTTGAAGATAACCGGTTTATTGGTTGAAAACACAACTTATTTTTTGAAGACCAACTTTTGAAGACCAACTTTTGAAGACCAACTTTTGATACCCAACCGCAATCCAATGTCTTTGTTGTTCGCGGGCTCATTTATTATGTTTTCAAAATGGAGGAAGAAGACAAACAATACTTGCTACAGGCGATTTTTGATGTGATAAATTCCATCGACCGTTTTTCACAGTCTCGAGACGCTAATGTAGACTACATAAGAGCTTATGCTGAAATTTGATTTTTTACAACGGTTGCTAGTAAATATGAATCTTGATTATTCGATATGTGCAAACGTTGGAGAGGCATATAACATTCTTTTCAATATGGAACAAATGGAATACCAATGCAGACAATAGGATATCCGAAGGGGGTAGGGGAGTTAACTTCTAATTTCCTCCGTGAGGGTGGTATGGATGTTTTCTGGAATGACCCATTGGTAAACAGAGAAAAACAGGATAATGTATTGTCCTAGAACATAGATATCCTAATATATTACACACAGTCAGGTTTTAGCAGCGCCGTAGCAAGCTCGATAATTGGGGAGGGGGGGGGGCTGATATTCATATATTTGTGTTCACAGACCATAAAAACAATTGATTTCTAAAGAAATAATAACACAGAACATGAATATATGAATATCAGCCCCCCCCCAATTAGGGAACTTTAGATTTGACTACGAGTACGACTACGAGTACGAGATTTGATCGTGTGCGAGGAAATTACATAGTCGTTTTCGTTTCCATTCAAATGTTGCTTTTATAACAGTAAACCAACAACGGAGAGAAAAAGTTTCATAAACTAAATCTCCTGCAGACTAAAATCCCCTACAAAACGTGTAAACAAATCATAACATTAAAAACAGGCCAGATATTTAGTACTAATATATTATTTGCGCCGGATAAACGCTATATAAATGCTACAAATTATTTTTGGAAAACAAAAAAAAAGCCAACTTTCTTTGTTTTTTTGAAAAGTCGTCGTGAGGACTACGAGGTTTCTCCACAATTTCGTACTCAGATGGGCGACGGCTACGACTTTTTCGCGTCAGTACGGGATGGCGTAAGCATACAGCATACGTTTAGCTTGACGAATCTCGTACTCATAGTCGTATTCGTAGTCAAATCTAAAGCTCCCTATTATCGAGCTTGCTACGGCACTGTTTATGAGTCCAAATGGTACACAGGACATTAAAAACCTGCACAAGCTTTCCCCCTGCCCCCCCCCTCCCTAAAAGTTGATGTCTGCTGCCACTGCTCGAAATATGTTCTCCTTTTGGAGGATGTGAAGGAGTGGATATTAAAGTTATAAATGTTTATGTAATCTACTCCTTCACATCTTACAAAAGGAGAAAATCGCAACTAAAATTCTAAAATTGCATGTAATGTTAGAAAATGGAGGGGTATTCTGCAATCTAACCTGATCACAAGTAAAATATTATACGAGCCGCCAACACCAAGTCATAAAGTACTATTTAAAGCACGCGTAGGAGTGTTTTATGACATATAAAACACGACGCGTAGCGGAGTGATTTATATGTGATAAAACACGACTACAAGTGCTTTAAATGGCTTCAAAAACGATTCATCTTATACGAGTTGAGTTCATTGGCAAAGTAATTTTTAAAATAAACTTTATCTAAACCGAGAAAATCAAAGCTAAAGTTTATGTAAATTAACATGATTTTTTATGACATATAAAACCACGACACGCTTATGATTTTTCTCTGTGTTTTCCTCCTGAATTATTAATGATTTTTGAATCATAATTAACTATTAATACATGTCATGTACATTGTACAGTATATGAATAATTCATATTCTTGAATTTACATCGGCCTGCACAAAATGGATAAGGAAAATAAGACAATGAATATATAAAAAGTTTAGTTACTCAGACAGAGATGATTTTAGCGGAAAATCACAATATGAGCCCGCGAACAACAAAGACATTGGATTGCGGTTGGGTATCAAAAGTTGGTCTTCAAAAGTTGGTCTTCAAAAGTTGGTCTTCAAAAGTTGGTCTTCAAAAGTTGGTCTTCAAAAGTTGGTCTTCAAAAGTTGGTCTTCAAAAGTTGGTCTTCAAAAGTTGGTCTTCAAAAGTTGGTCTTCAAAAGTTGGTCTTCAAAAGTTGGTCTTCAAAAAATAAGTTGTGTTTTCAACCGATAAACCGGTGATCTTCAAAAACAATGTTGTTATTTTAATGAAATGAATATGATCCTCAAAATATCATATAGTGAAATGCAAAAGTTGATTTTTGGCGGACATGGGACACCATATAACCGGAATTAAAAGAGATTGAGCAACTTTTCAAGCCATTGCAAGCTTCTTGACGAAGAAGGATCACAAATATTGCAAAACGACCAATCAGAAGCGTGCTTCGCGAGCGTCCGACTTATAGGAAACTATTTTGCTGCCTTGCTGGGTCGGTGGCATTCTCGTACCCAGAGCCCTTAAATGTCGTCGTAATTCTGAACAGAATCGAGATCAATCTTATAATAAAACCTTGTTTAAATATCCGAAGTTGCTATCAAGTGGTAAGTTTTTTATATTGATTCACTTCTCAACAAGGTTTTTAATGATTTTATATGATTTTTAGGACGTTTCTTTGAACAAACTTAATAGCCGTTTTGCTTACTCCAAATTGTCTTGCATATTGTAGGTCGTTGTAGTGAGACGAACTTTACATGGATGAAATAAAAGAACAAGAGTTTGACGCTTTCGAAATCCTCCAAGGTATAAGTAATTGTATTGGGTTGTAGTAAAGTTGTAGACAATAATCTCTGCGATCGCCTTTTGAACGATGTTTTTTACGTTTTGTTAGAGCATGCGCATGAAAGCTAATATGGCGTGCGAAGGAAAACAGTGTTTTACCACTAATTATTATTTTGTAATTTTCCGTATATTTTATAATTAAAGTGAGTTGAAACCTGTTTTTCGCCTCATTTACTGGCAATCCCAGTACAGTAAAACACTAACGTTCGCTGTGGCATTCCAGAATTGTGAAGAAGCCTAAATACAAAGGAGTTTTGCAGCCCAAAACTTGTGTATTGCTTGAAGACAAATCCAGGAATCAGCCATGAATGTTGAAGATAAAAAACAAGAAAGAAGCAAGGCTAAAATGGCGGTCACTGTCGCTGCGAGGCGTCTGATCGGAGCCTACAACAGAGATTGTGAATATGATATTTTAAAGGATTCAATGTTCGAACTTGAAAAGGTATTTGATGATTTTTGCGTTATAAATGAGGAATACGAACTTATTGTATCTGACGAAAAATACGCTGAACACCGTGTAGTTAATGGTGAAGACATTATGACTTACAGAGACAATGTAAAAAGGTGCTATGAAGAAGCTAGGAGTGTATTTGTTAGTGTAAAGACAACAATCGAACAAAAAGCTAGACAACAAAGTGCTGGGCCTGTCAAAGTTGCCCTAAAGAATGACATCTGTAGAATTCATGAACTAATCACAGTCGTTGATGAGAGTTTTAAACTGGAAAATGTGAATATGGGAGCTTTACAACTAGATAAGAATGATCTACAGTCAATTTTGAACATAATATGTGATAACATGGCAAAACTTGGCTCGATTGAAACACAAGAGCAAGTTAACCTAATCCAAGAAGATGTCGATGCTATTATCAGAGCAGTTTACAATTGCATCAGAAAGATAAACTTGTTTTTGCATGAGCAACAAGCATTTGTTAAATCATTACACATTGAAACTGCCACTCTCCCCTCTGAAACCAACACCCCCCTGAGAACATCAACACCGTATCCCCCCCGGAGATCAACACCAACATCCCCCCTGAGGACACTGAGACCATCAACACCATGTCTCCCCCCGGAAATCAACACCAACACCCCCCTGAGAACACTGAGACCATCAACACCATGTCTCCCCCAGGAAATCAACACCAACACCCCCCTGAGAACACTGAGACCATCAACACCATGTCTCCCCCCGGAAATCAACACCAACACACCCCTGAGAACACTGAGACCATCAACACCATGTCTCCCCCCGGAAATCAACACCAACACCCCCCTGAGACCATCAACACCAACACCCCCCCGGATATCAACACCAACACCCCCCCTGAGGACACGGATACCATTAACACCATGTCCCCCCCAGAAACCAACACCCCCCTGAGACCATCAGCACAACTTCCCCCTCGGTAATCAACACCAATATCCCCCCTGAGCCCATTTACACTGCAACCCACCCTGAAATCATTGACACCCCTGCTATCGAGACCAACACAATTCCACCTATGTTGCCAATTAACGCTCCCCCCATTAATTACTCCAGTCCCTTTGGCACCCAAGTTACCACCAACATTACAGAGGCCAACACCCCCCTACCAACCTTACCTGGGACCAGTACGGGTTTTTGCTTGAATACATCAGCTCAAACCTTCATTCCCTCTACCACCTTTCATTCGGAGAGCAGTTCCACATCGGGACAAACGCATTTGTCTCAGCAATGTCAGAATCCTACAAATTTATCAACAGGTTTCCCTCCATTTGCAATGCCAATGGGATCAAATCTGCCAAGAGTGGCATCCAGCTATCATAGCAACCACAATCAGACCAGGAGCAATTTGTCAACCAGTCCTATGTATACAACCCCATCTGGACATCAACCCACAGTCCCGTTGATTAATACAAGACCTTCCCACCAAGATTCCACCATTCGGCTAAAAAGGATGGCCCTACCCACATTCCCCGGACTTAGGAAAGACTGGCCAGAGTTCAAGGCAGTCTGGAAGTCTATGGCTGAGTCTGCAAGTTATAATAAAACTGCATTAGCACACGAACTTAAGAACTCAGTTAAAGGAGAAGCCAAACACCGCATCAAATCTGTTTTTGTCACCAAGCCCGAAGCTTACGATATCATGTGGGAAAAGCTAGAGTGTCACTATGGAGATACTACTGCCAGTGTACAAGCTGCTTTGGAAGATCTTCAAAGGCTAAAACCTGTAAAAGAAGAAGATTATAAAGCTCTGGTTGAATTAGTGAATGAAGTTGAATCCGCCTACAGTCAATTGGAAGAGCTCAACCAGCTAAACACTTTAACCATGCGAGATGTAGACAACCTAACTGATTTGTTACCTACCCATCTTAAAGTCGACTGGAGACGAAAGTATCGTGATTCATCGTCTGCGGAGAAGCTTCAACCATTTACTCCGCTAATGAAGTTCCTAGACAGAGAACGTTCAGTTGTGGCTCGTTTAGCAGAGAATCAGCATTCTAAGAAAAGAGGAAATGACAATGCAAGAGGATACAGCAAAACCTATCATGTTGAAAGAGGTGCAAAACACGGACAAAGAACCTACTACAAGTGTGCCTTCCCCACCCACAGAAAAGACACCATAAATCACACCACCGAACAGTGCAAAGAATTCCAGAAGTTGTCCATCAGCGGTAAAGATGGCAGATATGAGTTGTTGAAGCAGGTAAACGCTTGTTTCAAATGTTTTGGTAATCATAGGAAGCTTAACTGCCCCAAAAAACTCCCATGTTCCTCATGTGGAAGTGACCAACATCATTCCCTGCTGTGCATCCCACCAAAGCTCCCAAAAGATTCTGGGGAGAAATCGAAAACTGGAGATGATGGGAACAAGGAATTAGCATCCTATACCGTAGAAAGTGATTCAATGGCATTATACCCTATCCACCAAGCGACCATTAGCGACAGTGGTAGAAAGGTGTCCGTCTTCTGTGATGGAGGCTCTAACGCAAGTGATATCACTCATCGTGCTGCGGAAAGAATCAAAGCAAAGAAAGTTAAAAAACTCTCTCTTGACGTGACAACTATGGGAAATGTCGAGAAAACGTACAACACGTGGCAATACGAGTTTCCAATCAACACAAGTGCTGGAAAGAAAGTCACTATTACGG